CCTAAGAAGATGCCACCCTTACAACTGACCGCGTTACAAGTATTACTCTCACCTCCCGTGAATTAGTCGCTGGACTAGTCTTTGGAACCTTCCTCACTGGTGAGGATACATGATCATGATGACCAGCTACCCCATGTGATGAAGGTCTCCTCTTATTACCCACTTCAGTTGCCTGATATTATCATCAGGCCCACCCGTGACCACGACCATACTACCTCTACATGTTCCTTTCCATCTATACTACCATTATCCCCTTCATCCACCCCTTGTTCATGATGTTCTCCTTCTTCCATTGCTGCTGCAGTTGCAGTAGCCCTATCCCTCATAGCATCAGCCACAGCTGCTACCCATCTCTGATATGCCCGTAGCTGCTCATGGTATTGTAGCTCTGCTAATTGCCGTGCCTCTCTAGGAGTAAGGTTCCGTCTAATCTCAGATGCACTAGGCTTCTCCACAGGGATGTCCGAAAGAAAAGGTTGAGCCGAGGCAGGCAACAAGGTAGCTGAATACAGTGAGACGATATTATACGACACGAACAATATCAGTTCCCAGACAGTACTACCAGATAGGTTCGGATCCAAGCCAAGAGCTTTTGCAGTATCATGCGCCTCATCAGCATCCTTTCTACTACTCCCCTGTTGCAATAGAGTAGCTGCCGCGCCACCCACAACTGGTCCTCCTGAATGCCATGATGGGCCAACCCAGATCGCCGTTACTACCTTCAATAGGTTGCTGCTCTTTAACGCTGGGTATTACAGCATTCTCGCTATCGGCAGTTGCAGGTCCATTAGCATCCTCCACTGGAGTAGTATCATCCTTGTCCATACCACTCCTCAGGGAACTCCCTACGTCTGCTGTTGTTGTTGTTGCTGCTGCCGCCAGAGCAGCGGCCTTCCCGCGGGTCATGATTCCCTCGGTTTGAGCGCCCATTGATGTAGCATTATCATCCTCCTTAGTAGTAGTGTCACCAACCTTGGATGGTGTTTGCTTATGAAGCAGCCGCCTCTCGATGATGAGGCTGCTGTTGTCGGACATCTACGACGAGCAGTAGCCCTTTGAAAAAGTAGTACTACACAAGTACAGCTCAATTTCATGTTGTCGTCAATACACACGGAGAATCACCAATCGTATCGGCTTGACTCAACTCGACAACAACTCATAACATTGAAACTCACAAGAATAATCATGCTGAGAGCTCCTACCGCATGGAAGCAGCGAGCCTGTATGCATCAGACATGATGATATCATCATCAGAATAGAG